CATAAGTTGCAATAGAGCAGATTATACTCCATTTGATGTGCATTTATGCGGCGTTCGGTCAGCGCAAGCGTTTGTTGCAACTTTTCCGTATCATTGTTTTGTGTTGCAAGCGCTGCTTTTGAGTTANGCTGCCAGAGCGCACTAAACGTATGTAGCCCATAGCATTGCCTGCGCAATATCGATTTACATATGTATGCAAGTATGTAACTGCATTCGGAAATAAGCGAATAATTTATTAATAAACTACTTACCCACATGAGTTATAACTTTTCGGAAGAGATCCATGTATGTTTGACCATCACTGGATAAACCCAATTTGCGTATATCCTTATTGAAGGCTTCGGCACGCTCGTAGGCATAAAGCGGATAGCTTTTTGATTGTTTGCGCTCAGCATAGGCGCGCAATTCTTTCATCAGTCGCGATTTGATTTGTTCGTCGTATAGAAATTGTGAAAAAGTGTAAAATTTTTGTCGCAAAAATTGATATGTAAAATTGACGGTGGTGTTGATGACACCCGTGCCGTGTGTGCGTAATGAATTAGCAACATGCCGTATGCCAATTGAGTCCAGATGCTTGTTGGCGCTCTTTTGTTCGACAAATATTTGGGAATTCATATTGTAGACGTATTTAGAGACAAAGATATGTATTTTTCGCATTATCTCCAAAATGTCGATGCCCTTAAAGTTAATATGTTAATATTATAATATGTATATGTTGACTTTCTAAGCCTATAATCTCGAACCTGCTCCAAAGTTTGGTTGGGCAAATAGTCCTCAACTGGTTTCAGCATTAAACGCGTGTTGGCCAGATGACGCATCTCTTCGTAAGTTTTCCAGTCGTGCAGTGATATGGTGGTGAGATTATAAAACATGGCGCTTAAGTAATTTTCGACGTGATCTAAAAACAATTAGATATTGTTCAGTAAAAATTAATTTTCAGAGGCACACAGCTATGGAGAAACTCGGTTATGCCTTTATGAATAACCTTTTAAAATCACATAATTTCCATTTAGCTGAATTGGACAGGCATTAATCAGCACGCGATAATCGTCAATACCCTGGTCAAATGGACTCATCTTCTCCATCTGTAAATTTGAATGCACCTCTAAACGCAAAAATGTTTCGATTTGTGCACATAATTTGCTGACGATTTCGCTACGAAGACTATCGTAAGTTGCCCTTTCTAGACATTTTTGCAATTTAATCTCATTTAACTCCAAATTGTTAAGAGCTCTGCCACAGTCGTTAAAAGCATGCAAAATATACTGTAAATATAAACCTAAGTATATTACTCATAACTGTAAAATAAACCAAAAATTCAAACCTGGAATGTGTTCAAGTCCAACTTGCGTTCTACCACCTGCTTCAGATACGCTGAAAGCACCGATTGATGCCAATAGATGAATGTCGTATCACAAAACTCTTCCACGTTTCGCTGAAAGTCTGCTAGCGTTAGAATTCGTGACATTAACAATTGAAAACGTTCGCACTGATCGTGTGGCAATGTGCGATTGTTCAAATTTGTTGCATTCACTGCCAGTTTTGTAATAAGTGTGCGCGTCTTTGTTGGTGGACCTGTCATGCACTTCTCAGCAACGCGCAACGCAGCCAAAGCGTCGACATTACGATCATGCATTTTGGCCGCTGTAATGCGTTTCTACAATAAAACATATTTATACCCTTGTTTCAATATATAAATCTAACGTTTTCTCCAATTACCTTGCAAAGGTTCAGCAAATGCAACACTTTATACTGTAAGTACTGTAGCACACATTGTATCACCTTTGCAATGACATCCATGTACTGTTGAAATACCTCTTGTATATTTTTCAGCAATTCAATAAGTTTGCAAATACACTGCAATGTTGATCTAGCCATTGGTGACTGCAACGCTACATGCATATTTACCAAACCTTTTACCAGGCAACTTATTTTCAAGGCATAACGTAATCCAAGCAGCAGCAGAGCAGCTAGCTCCTTAAATTGATGTACTGTTAGTTCGAACGGGCCAGTGCTTAGTGATTTGCGCACATTTAACGTCCAAAGCACCACTTGTGTGCAATAGTTACGACAGTCGCGTGGCAGTGATTGCACCTGTGTTTGCACGTAATGCTGGCGCAATCGTTTGATATCTTGTAAAAGGCGCTCATGTGGCTTGACCAATGAAGTAGCGTGGCGCCGCAGAAATGTGATGGGTTGCCAAGCTACATTACCCACCAATATGATGCCTTGATGTTTTTGATTTAGTTCCAGTAAATGTTTTACATGTTTACTTTCAACTTGTCCGCAGAAATCATGGAATACTACGCAAAAGGCATTCAGGCGTACGAGTAATCTGTGTTCACAGAATTCAGACACATCGTGTTTGGTTATAATAGCCAAGCATTGTTTCATATACTCATTGCACTGGCTTGTAAGTTGACCAATACCCTTTGGGCCGACTTTGTCTTTCAATGCAAAAGTGCTGTCAAGGAAACTCTGTAAGGAAAATTCTACATAGATACTTAGAGTACGTGGCAGTAAAAGAGTTGTACATACTTGAAACACAGCATTTGAAAATAGAAAATCAAATTCCTCCAAACAGTTTTTTAATCCATTCAGCTCGCTTTTAGTGCAAATTTCCATGCAATTTCTATTGTGCGCTACTGTATCTACAGTTTTCTTGTACGTCTGCCAAAAGCGGCAGAAATTTGAGCCCGCCAAAATTTCGTTAAAGATTAGAATTTGTAATAACAAGTCTGCCAGATAGTCAAATACATCCTACACGAAGGATTAAAAGGTTATGCATAAGTGTTGATTTTGTTATGTACAGTTCTATTTTGTAAGTACCACAAATCGAAACTCCATATTTTTGTTATCTTGCGTGGCACAGTATGCGCCACATTGATGCAATAAATTGTTGCCCAAAACTATGAAGCGTTGTAATAAAAACTGAATATCGCAGAGGAATTGCATGGAATCGCTCATTTGTAGCAAAATGTCATTGGTCTGTTTTGTGACATCTGTGGTGCCACACCCATCTTCATTTGTTAATAGCACACATAAATTCTCATCAATGTAAAGGAACTTTAACTGCATTTGCTGTGCTTTTTGTACTAATTCATCGACTTCCGCGCAGAGATGACCGAAAGTGAGTAGTGTTTTGTTCAATAAACGATCCGATTCAAGTATTCGCAGCAATATGAGCTGCTCTTGATTTGTGGAAAAGTTCACCTCTACAAGAGATTGAGCTGTGGGCGTTGTCCTAATTGACGGTAACTGTGTTGTCTTCTGAAGGAGCTGATGCAATCTCTTATCATGAAAATCCAAGAATGTACCAAATTTCTTCAACTGCTCCTCAGCCGATGAAACTGTTTATTAGATTAAAGCTTTTTAGAGATTTTTAAATTAAAAAATATTATTGGTACTTACTAATTTCAGCTTGCTCCATTATTTCAGTACTGAAGTATATAATTTGAAAGGCTTTTAACAAAATAATGCTTTAAATTTTTCTTAAGGATAAATTGCAACAAAAGTAAAGTGAAAAGCGAATCAAAACAAAAACTAATGGCTGTCAGACCTTGCTTGCTAATTTAACCCATTAGCGGTAAATTGAAAGTTTATGGAAATTCCACGACGAAAATCGTCGAAAAATATGCAGTGCTGCCAAGTTTTTCCGTATTAATACACTAGTCGAGTGGAAATTTTAGGAAATGACGTGAAATTTTCGATACGATTCGACTCTCAAAGAACGACTTGTGTTCGGCACGACTCTCGCAATGAGTCTGATCATTTTCCAAAAATACAGGAATAAGTAAATCCATATATGAAAACTGTGTGCAATAGGCTCTGGAAGAGCAATGAGATGGACAAACTGCAAAGCCAAGGAATATTAAGTCCTCTTTCAGACACGTCAAGTCTTGAAGGCAATTTTTTTCGCATTCTCTTTTGTGTTTTCAACTTTAATTGAATTCAAGTTCTTGATTCTTTAAATGGGAAGCAACGAAAAGATCAAAAGAGACAAGAAAACTTGAAACGAATTGACGGTACGGAGGTATCTGTACTCTTCCCCTCTCTTCTCACCTCCTTCGCCTACGAACGAGCAGACTTGAAAGCAAGACTTGACGTGTCTGAAAGGGGACTAATGTGCCTTGTTCATAGCAATAAAAAATTGCGGGTTACCAAATGCAACCCTGCGCTGGTAGTGGTAATTGTGACAGCGGCTTGCCAAAATGAAAAGGGATAGTGTAATTTGACTTCCCCCGGAAGCAAAATTTTGTGAATATGTCCGATTTCGTTGAAACAAATTAAAGTGTAAGTGTAATGCATATTTATCAAACAGTCATGTACATTTCCGCAATTAACCGAGAATGAGACTGACGATTGATTTAACCTTGCGTGCATCTAATTACGTTCGCCTTCAACAAGTGGGCGTTATACGAACTCCGGGACGGTATTTCTAAGCCAGTGCATGTGTTTTTCTATTTCTGCAGTGAGTTCTTCGAACATAGCGTGTTTTTATTTATTTTGACGTAGAATACTTGTCTGTGCTACATGTGAAGTATGACATATCGTCGCATTGTGGATAGGCGGGTGTGCATACCAAATTCTAGGTCTGCAGACATGTATGAAGAAAATTGAAAATTTTCAATTTTTCTGCTCGTTGTTGCGACAGGTATGAATGTTTACGCGATTCTGTCGGTGCGAATCTTTTCCGATAAAATTTACAACAATGCCGACCATAGTTTTAAATGAGGAACGCCACACTTATGCGATTTTGCTGCAACGATTTATTCGAGCGTTCACAGTTCTCCTCCCATACCCCATTTCAGAGAGGTCATGAGCCGCCGTTTGCAAAAATGCAACTTCCGACTGCCTTACAAAAATGGGAAAAACTGTAAAGTTTCGCTTGTTTTGAGTAGATGAAGGCACTGACTTTAGTCTTTCCGTGTTGCCGGAGAAGAGGGGCCCGCCAAGGGTATATATCATTTCTTCTGTGTTGCCGGAGAATAGGCCTTAAAGGAACCGAAACTTTTGAAAATTGTTTATTGGAAAAAACGGTATTAGCATATTCACCGAAAAAAACCTACAAATATGGCTCCATAACGAGCCGTATGTGAGGGCAATAAGAGCCCAGTATGAATAATTTGTGCCTCTAAATGTTTGCTGGGAAGAAGTAGATCCATATGCCGTGATGTTCACTCACTTCAACGGTTACAACGAAATGATGTTTGAACAACTTGTCGCATGGTGCATACTGAACTGACATGCGACTAAGTATGCATACAAGTCTGTATATTCTGCTTTACGTTTCGGTATGGATGCCATGCTCAAATCTTGTAGTTGTAATTTTTAGAGCTTCACAAAAACGCTTATTGCATGAGAACTAATGAAGCGATTTGAAAGAAAACGTGGCGTTTCAAAGACGAAACTCCAAACCTACCCACAGATTCATTTTTGTAAGTGATCGGTTCGGTTTATGTCGTAGAAATAACGGTAAATATTGGCTTATTTTGTGGACACTTTTGAGCCTCTAAAGTACTCTAGTAACTTAGGTTTTCCAGATATAATTTTCATTTTCGGAATTAAAGTTCTTTATAGCAATAGAAATTTTATTTTATATGAATTGGACAAAAATTGAGAATTTATTGCTTCGAAGTAACTTAATTTCCAAACTACATGTAGGAGGGTTGCCATATGATTTAAAAATTCAATTCAAGTTGAATTAATGGAAGTAGCTAATAAAATGTATCACAATATGAGTGTTGGACGAAAAAGGTTTTATTTTGAAAATATGTTTAACAGGGTTACCACCTGTTTACAAAGTTAAATTTGATGCACACGATGGGTTAAAGGAATTACTACAATATGAGCGATTTTTGGAGAGTTGTGTGGAGAATAAAGTTGCAAGATTTTACCCGAACTGTTTCTTCTGGTAAAATCATTAAAAGTGTCAAGCGATCACTGGTTGACATTTTTTACAGGAAAAATGCTTTTATTGTTCCCATACGTCTTGTTGTTAACTTTTTACTCTCACTTCAGTAATTTTGCTGTTTGAAATTTTTAAAGGATTATACACGAAAAGTATTGGATGAGAGCTATTTGCACAAAGTCGAAATAAAAAGACTTGATTTTGAATATTTTCAAAAATTTGTTTCATTGCAGTCAAACAATTGTCAAAATTATCCAACATAGAAACAAGCTAATTTCGTTTTATTTGACCAAAATTTAGCTATTAGCTTCTGATGGTTGAATAAAACAAGCCTAATAATAATAATAGGTTGGCGCTTACACATATGTAAGGGTTTGGCCGAGCTTCTCCTCCGATTTGTGGCGTGCGCCTTGTCATTGTCACACAAAGGGGACCTACAGTTTTACGCCGACTCCGAACGGCGATTGTATTTTTATGCGAAGCTGTTGATGGCAGGAATACACTCGGAGATTTGTCATTGCCTGTCGAAGGGCGACCGCTATTAGAAAAAAAAACTTTTATTTTTTATTTTATGACGTTGGGTTGAACCGGGCTTGAACCCAGGCCCTGCTGAATGATAGCTGCGACCGCCTATACCACTTAAATAAATAAATTTGTGTACATTTTCAGCCCGATTCTGTGTACTTGATAAATTTAAAATCTTTATAATTTG